AATGTAATGTTTATGAGTTCTATCACTTAGCCGTGTGAAAAAGTTTACTTTTAAGGCGGTGAAACCTCCATCAGCACTTCTGGGTCTGGACAAATCGCTTCGCCCAATTACGCCTATCACTCTGTAGGGACTCTGACCTGTAAGTGGCGAATGATGTCAGTTCTTCCTGGCAAGCAAGGCATTGTGTCTGGATTCCAGTTGCAGTTCAACCCGCTGAATATAAGCAGCCGGGGAAACTGCACCGAAGAAAGTACCGACGTAGTCATGTTGTATGATCATATCTCACAAACGCCACAAGTGCAGCCTGTAAAAAAGTAGGAATATTCTTTTCTCATAACGTTGAATGATAATACTGTTAACTTCGAGCTCAAAATTTATGCAGTTTTCGTATTCTTATTGCATTGCATCGAAGACTTTGCTGGGTGCTGTGCAAGCATTCCTTCTCAGCCGAACCAATTTATGCTCACTCTTCAATCCTTTCGATGCCATGTCAGTTTCGAGAACCTTTTGTTGGAGGTCTTCGTGACGGCCATCTGCTATCATGCTTTGTATTCAGTACTCTTTTCGCATACTGACCATTGTCCATTCGTTGAAAGTGGTCATATCCTATTAAACGCTTTGTTTGCAGCCACTCCGTCATTTTAGTTGAATATTTTGAACTTTGAAATAGTATCTGCAATCAGCACATAGTGATTGGACGGCCGTAGCAACTGGCCATCGATCCCATATGTTTTCCGGCATGCCCATATCTCCGGGATCCGCTCATAGGCTTTCTCTAGATTAACAATGCACATATAAACCGGAAGAGCAAATTTCCATGATTTCTCAATAATCTAGCATAGGGTGAATATCTGGTGTGACGTGTTTCGGAAAGTATCTTGGAGTGAATTATTGCGCGGCACTCCCCTCCTGTAGACCTTGGAGGCTCAATAATGTAACGTCCCAATAATTGGAGCACTCTCTGTGATCTCCCTTTGTGAAGGCGGTAGTGCAGATCCCGTTCCCCAGTCCGTTCGGCAGTTTGGCAGACATGCATAAGCCAGCACGTGCCTTGTTCCACTGATGCTTTGAGCATTTCAGGGCGGATTTCGTCAATTCCAGCAGCCTTTTTCCATTTCAAGCTTTTCGCAGCTTGTGTGATTTTATCTACAAAAATACTATTATTTTTTACCTGTTAGTCTTCAGGAGAGTTGTTCCTGCGATTGCTCGGGAAGATCCTCAGAGTTCTCTTTTGAATGCCGAAGAAGTTTTTCATCCTATCTCAGAGTTTTTCATCC